GTGCCCGTCCTCTCGTGCCTGGGCCGGGGCTGTGCTCCGCGGGCTTCTGCCGGGCTCCGTTCGCCTCCTCCCCCTTGACAATTTGCGTTGGCTTTTATTTCACCAGCCGTAACGCGTGTGCCTCATTACACCTTTAAAAGTTTCCAAATAGTCATTTTAAGCTGTTAAATTGGCAAAGAAGTACGAATGTCTCCTTGGATTTTGATTTTTCGTGTGCCCCATCGTGGATCGGTCTGGAGCGCTGCATGAGGCGATCCCCGTGTTCGGTAGTCGTGGTTATTCCTGTAAGCGTCCCCCCGAGAATCTTCACAACTGCAGTGGGCAATTGCTTTATTTTAAATTTAATTAAAAAATGATCCACATAGGGAGAAAAGTTTTAATGAGATAAAAGAATTCTTATTTTGATTTTTCGTGTGCCCCATCGTGGATCGGTCTGGAGCGCTGCATGAGGCGATCCCCGTGTTCGGTAGTCGTGGTTATTCCTGTAAGCGTCCCCCCGAGAATCTTCACAACTGCAGTGGGCAATTGCTTTATTTTAAATTTAATTAAAAAATGATCCACATAGGGAGAAAAGTTTTAATGAGATAAAAGAATTCTTTTCAGGAAAAGCTACCGGCGAGGGGGCTGTCAAAGCCCTGCTCTCCAGAGGCAGCGGCAGCGTGGGGGGAGGGCTTTGCCTTCGCGCTGGGTGCCCGGAGGGATGGAGGAAGGCTCTGCAGCGAGGCTGGCCAGGGGCCCCAAGCCCTGGCTGCAGGGGAAGCCCCTGGGCTGGCGACAGGCAGCTCTTCCTCCAGGCCTGGAGGCATATAAACCAGAATCCTGGCCTGGACTGAAATCAGTGCTTCAGCGTGAGAGTGTGTGGGGAAGGACTTCTTGTTCCCTGGTGAGGCCCCATCTGCAGTGCTGTGTCCAGTTGCCCTGGCCCCGGCATTCCCTGCAAAGGCGCTGCCAAACCCGCCTCGAGCTTTGGCCCTTACTTTCTTAAAGAGAAATGCTATTTTCAGAAGTTGTTTTGCATCACATAGAGCGGGTTCATGCTGTGAGATTGAGTTTAATTATCGCTCCGGTAAATTACAGCAAAGTTAAGGGGTGCCTGCTCTAATACCCTTCTAGCGCTGGTTCTGCAATGCATTTGTGTGATAACATGAAGGAAAGCCTGGGAATTACTTCTTTTATGTACATGTAGCTTAAATGAACCCGAAATTAAAATGATGGGCATATCATGGCTTCAAATTAATGGCCTTAGCAGCTTAAATGACATATTTGCAAGTGAGTTCAATATAATCTTGGTTCCCTTTGCCTCTGTCCTTAGCAGCCCGGTATTTTCAATCTTCTAGAAGACAGTGATTTCACCAGCATTTAATGGAGCTGAAAGCAAAAGCACAATAAAACTCCATATACGAGAGAACATGATAAGTGAGGAAATGGATAATGGGGTGGTTAATGCTGTTAAATACCTTGTGCTTAATGTTGGCAGGTCGATTGGTTTTGCCAGTAAAAAGTTTTAAGTGGTTGCAGGTCTTGACTGTTGGAAGCTTTCTCCAAAAATAATCCACCCAAAGCGCTGAAGTGTAAATCAGACTTTTAACAAACTGCTGTCGTGATTTATTGCCCCTTTTGTGTTGCTTTTTTAGAAGCCTATATTTTAAAACATTATGTGCCTTCTCGGGACTAATCT